TGATCTGATATATAAGCACATTCATTCTAACTTGTTTAACTCGGAAATGTTCACGTCTGGTGCGTTACGCGTAAAAGGACAGCTTATTCAGATACTGATGGCAGAACGATGTACATGTGAACCTCTTACCCTTGATGCGAAGTGAGCCAGGCTATAGGATTTTAGGAATCTAACACCTCTTTATTTTCTCAGCTTATGAGATACTATAAGTATTATGATAACATAGTTTTTATGTTGGGGGGATAAAATATCTTTTATTGAGTCCAGCAAGTAAACACAGCAGCCATGTTTTTTTTTTAAAGAGATGAAAAAAAAAAACAAAACTTTAACATAAAACATCCCAAACGTCAAGAAAAAACAACATAGCATGTCACATTTTGTCACATGGATATCTGTTTAAACAATCTCATTTTTTACACAATTACTACCAACTTCTTCTATTTCGGTCATTTCACTTTATCATCCTTCATGAACATGAGAGGTTTATCCAGATAGAAACAAGTTTTTCTACACTTTCAAAGTTGTTTTGTGATGCGATGTTTATAAAAGTATTTTAAGTGTTTTCAAACATAGACCACTTGCTGCAATAAGTAAAGGACACCCGGGCCGGCAAGAATAGTTCCCAGTGAATGGAGTGTCATTCAGGTTTGAAGAAGAATGAAGTTCTCACAGATGCTGCATCACGGATGAACCCTGAAGACGTTATGCAAAATGAAATAAGCGAGACACAGAAGGGTAACACTCTGATTCGGATAAACGCTCTCTGAGTCCACTTACATGAGAGAGCTAGAACAGGCCGATTTAAAGACACACAAAGTGGAGTAGAGGTTATATGGGGGCTGGAAGGAGGGGGGTTAGGGGTTGAGGACAGTGATGAAAAAGCTTTTGATTTGGGATGATCTGTTACATAACAACGCCAATGTATTTAATGTCACTCAATTATACAATTGCGAATGGTTAGAATGAAAAATGTTGCGTATATTTTACTACCATCATTTTTTTGAAGTGGGTAAGAATTCCGCCAAGATCTTACAGTTGAGGGGCAGAAAATTCTGGCCTCTATTACTGGACTTAATACCTGAATATGTTCCAATGCAGTGAATTCAGAAGGTCCCCGTGTGGGCTTTTCTTTAGTTTATTTGGTTCATTCAGTCAATAAATATTTATTTGAAAGTCACGCTATGTCCTATCAGACTCTGAGGGACTAGATGGATGAGAAAGGGAGATCTCCTGCTTCCGGGATGGGGAGAGAGAGACAAGGCAGTCACAATCGATTCAAAATCAGTCGAAGGGCTGCAGGAGAAATATAATGAATAGCATTGGGGACACAGGGGAGGAGTCGCCCAAGGGGATCAAGGCTTCATTAGACCAGTTGATAATTGATATGGGTTTGAAGTTTGAGAAGGAATTGGGTTGCTCATTGTATTTCAATAATATGCAGTACATTATCTCTCACATTTCAGCCTTCAACTCTTGAATCTAAAATATCGTGCCGCCTTTCCAAATTTGTTTTTTCCTTGTGTAAAGCAAACTTGTCCCTGGAGTCAGAAAAAACAGCTTGGTTCATTCTCTGTGCTACTTTCTACATATTTATAAGCAAAACCACTTTGAGAAATAATTCAAAGTCAATGAGGCATCCTCGGATCCCTGGAAGAGTATTTATTAGGGAGATGAGGCAGAGACAGCTGGGCGGTAAGTACTTTAAGAAACTGAGATGGCCGTGCAGGGGCAGGAAAAATAACTTCTGCTGGGAGGTGGACGAAAGCTTCATGGATGGGGAAGGCGGTGGCGTCTGCGTTTTCCTCTTCAGGCTGTGGAGAATTGTGATAACTAGACGTAGGTTCATTTCATTTGGATAGAAATATAGGAGCAAAAGCGGAAAGGCAAAAAGTATTAGTCTTCTTTAGGGAAGCAATGAAAAAGCGAGCCAGAGAGGCCCTTTGGGGCCAGGTTACAGAATCTCCAAACCTTTAATGTTCTCCTTCTTCTCGAAATCCAAGGACCGTAATTTGTAACCGGGTAGATTTAAGAGAGAAAGGCTGAAGAGTCTTCACATCCCTCCACATGGGCAAGGGATGGCGGAGAAGAAAGGATAATAAACGCAGCCATCCAAAGGCACTGGGTGGGCCCTGGGCTCACGGGAGGGGTGGAAATAGATTGAACTAAAAGTACGAGTGAAAAAAAGAACATGTTTCGGAGTGAGTCAGCCCTGCGTTCAAATTCTGTGTTCAAAATTTATTAACTGTGCCATTTATTAACTTAGAACTTCTGAACCTCATTGTCCCTGTGCGACAAATGAGGGCAACAGTGGTACCCCGTGGGCTAGAGAGATGGGCGACAGATACCTGTAGACTCCAGATGGCCCTCAAAGACACCAATGTCAGCTCCCTCCCCAGGTGACCTCTAACATCCCAGTAGAACCTGAATGTCTTTGAAATAATCCAGTTTTTTCCCTGCACAAAGAAGTTATTCACATGATTGACGTTAAATATATCTCATTCATGTATTTCTAGATAACATATTAATTTCAAGTAGACATAAAAATATCACAGCTAAAATAGATTGTCTCGGCGCAGATACTCATCTGTGGGAATGATTCAAATATTTTGGGGGAGCTGCATTAACCATTTCATTCCCCCGAGTTGCCACTTGGGGCTCAGAACCACGTGTTTAGAAAGTAGTGTCTTCTTGTTGGATCTATGATAAGGTCCCCCAATTCCTTTTCCTAATCAGAGCTCCGAGCTGGGGTTTCACCCTGTGTAGTGTATCCTTCTGCTGACGTGACTGACCGCTGACAATACTTGAAAGTATGAATGCAAATGTGAAAACATCTCCCATGCTTTCGATGAGAAATAGTCTAGATTAGGGTAGCTTGTGTCCTTGCTAGACTTTTTTTTTTTTTCTTTTTTAGGCAACCCTTGATTGATCTCACAGGTTGCAAGGAACTTGTCAGCTTACAATCCCTTATTTTTCATTTTATTTTTTACGCCTACAGCACCTGGTCTTCCTAGGTGGTCTCCCATCCAAGTACTCACCAGGTCCGACCCTGCTTAGCTTCCGAGATCAGACGGGATCGGGCTCGTTCAGGGTGGCGTGGTCGTAGAGCCTGCTAGACTTTATGTCTGTTACTTGCCACGTTTTGGAATTCTTTTCTTCGAATTATTTTGCAGGTGAGCCTCTCAGGTTTTCTGTGTGATATTAACATTGTCTGTAAATGAGGTTGTTTCCTTTTTGACTGTTGTGCCCTTATCTGTGTCTCCTGATGTGGAGACACACATCCTGATGTGTGTCAGGATGAGGGTATTAACAGATGGTAACGGAAAGGCCCCCAGCGTTTCAACACTTAATGTGATACTGCCATCGGATCCCATTGTCACATCTTTCCTGTCACCTGGCTCACATCATACAGAAACTTTTGGGAAAATGCCTTTTTCCCCTTGAGCTCTGAGCTCATTAAGGTGAGGTTCTCTCTCTTTTTTTTAATTTATCTGCATATACATGGCATTAGCACTGAGCCTGAATATGTGTAGATATTTATGGGAGGTATGAATAAGTATCTTAATTTCCCAGGACTCAATAAAAAGATACTGAAGATGATAATATCCAATAAGAAGTAACGACCACCTTTTTTAGAATTTCAGAGAACATTCACTGTTCTTCTATATTCCTGAAAAAAGTTGCATTTAAAATTGATCAATATCTTGAATACTAGTTTTTACTTTTGTGATTCTCATGTAAGAAAGCGGAAAGGAGATCCAATGTAAAGCTCTATCCTATTTGTACTTGAAAGAGGGGGAGCCAAATTGTTTAACGTATGGGTCCAGTATAAATTCTTTAATTCCTTTTCTAATTCGTATGTTTTCCACCAAACGTACCAATAAATGAATTCGAGAATTAATCAAATTAACGAATGGCTGCTTTGTGCCTGGCCATGGTAACACAAAACAAAGGTGCACTGTATGTTGATTATATTTGGATGCTATGGCTTGGTGTTTTTGAACAGTATCTACTCTAATGTTGCATACTCTTTTCTTAGTTTTTCCCAATTCATGATTTTTATATATTCCTTTCCGAAATCATGTTTTGTCTTTTAATGTGACTCACGCATTTAATCATTTAAAATAATGAGATGTGAGATGGGATAGAATAATGTGAAGATTTCATAAGGAAGAATTAAACTATAACGAAGAATAATTTGCAAGACCGATATGGTAGAAGTCATATTTATTGAAAAAAATTAATCTTTGCTATAAAATTTGTAACAGGAATATTTACTGAATGTTTATTTTGATGCATAAACCTGAATATTACATACCAAGTACAAGACAGTAGCTCGTTTTTCCTTTATTTACATTTTATGAAAATTGTTATGCGGTTCATGTTAAAAGAACTTATGATGGAGAATCGTTACATTAGAAAAATAATATTCTTGATAAAGCATTCTCAAGGAGTCCAGTCACATCGTCTGCCTCTTCAATAAGGCAAAAGTCCCTGGAACGGCTTATAACTTAATTTACAAAATACAATAACTGTTCAGACACATATTCAAGTTTTCTTTTGGTATGATTTTTCCTCACTGCAAAATTACATTTTTTTTTTCTTTTTTTGTCTAAAACAGAAAGATAGACTCTCAGGAAAACGTCATTGAATGATTTCAGCTATACGTTACATATACAACTCCGCAGCCTAGCAACGGCCAGGGTTACACCGTCATTAAGTGTAAATATTTTGCTCGGTGAGCTGTTCTCGAATGCAGCGTTTAAGAGTTTGCCATCATTGTGACTGTGGAATCGCTGTTTGGTTTTCATAGGAAAAGGGTCTGTCACAGTATGGAGCTTTGTTTGTTGTAGGACTGGTACCCAATTACGTTTCCACGCATGAGAGAACGCCACGGATGTCGCTCCAGACAGGCCCCGCCGAGGTCCCTGGGGCCCCCCGCGAGCCTCCTGCGCTCACGCCGCACAGCCCGGGCCTGGCGGGCAGTTTCATCTGCAGAGGACGTTGTTTTTTTGCTCCTCGCGGTCAGGCAGTTTTAATTCCTTCGAAGGCACACAGCTTCCACCTCTTCTCCAGCGTTGCTCCCACGCCTGTGAATTCCTGCTTAAACATGCGCGGCAGCCTCATCAGGAGCGTTTCGATCTCGTTGGCAGATATCTGTTGGAAAGGAAGACAGGCCCGTTTTAGGGAAGGGACTCACCTGAAAGGAGGCACGGGGGCTGGGTGAGGACGTGCTTTCCCAGTGACACGAACGGCCTGGAGCTTTTGCCCTGGCCGTTCAGTCATGTGATCCTGCTCATCCTGCCAGCTGCTGTCGGGCGGGACGGAGGCAACGGCAGAATGGTCCAGGCTCATCCTTGACACAGACGGCCACGCTCCTGGCAGGGCCATGCCCGGACAGCCCCCGCCTGATATCAAGCGGGGTGGGGAGGGGTTTTCGGGAGCTCGGAGTTAATCCATCACCACTCCCCGAAAGCTACAGCGCCCTCGCCCCGTTCCGCACAGGGCAGCACGCCTGTGTGACTCGAGAGGGAGGGGACCACGCGGGTGGACTTCGTGCCACCCTCACGTCTTTCTCTTCCTTTAACGTTCACAGGGACCAGAAGACGATGAAAGATGAAGAACAGACACAAAAAGCAAAACCTACGGCGATAAAAGTCTCGGGATCCGGTCGTAAAATCCACGTGGGTTTTTTCACGCCATCTTTCCCTCTGCTAGTTTTTTATTACATGCATTTGTCCACCGATAACTCACGTTATTTAAAATAAAGAACGAATTAACCACCATCCTGCTCGAACACAGCTGTCACTCTTGTTTCTCTGTGTTCGCTTCTCGATGCCCGTGCACCGGGATCTCATAGAGCAAGGAGCGTGTGGGGGGTGACATTTCCGTTGGAATCATGTACCTACTACTATCATTACGAGCTAAATGACCTCTACCAAGATAGCAAGTGTCTCTAAGCCTCCGCAAGGGGGAGCAACAACATTTCATAAGGATGTGTGCCGACCACTGGCCTAGCACAGATCAGGGCACACAGAAATGCTCGATGAATCCAACCTCTTATTATTTCCCATGGCAGGATCAGCATATAGACACCGTTTTAGAGCCTACGCTTTCCATTTAGCAATATTGAGATTAATTTTGAGAGCTCAAATAGACCAAGAAGTCAAATCAACTGTTGGCTTAATACTCACAGGGGAAAGATTTCACATGATATATTCGAAATTCCTGGGTCTGTAATACAAAACTTTGCATGGAGGCAGTCCTGGAAGTATTCTACAATTTTTGTGTGGATTACTTTGCAATCTCAATGCATTTTCCCGTAAAACCATGTTGAGCAGAGCATTAGATTCCCAGATCAACCCACTGAAGCCTACCCAACGGGTCATGAAAAGGTTCGTCCTGATCGTGACAAGCATGTTTTCTCCCAGTGAGCACTGTGCAAAGCACCTTCAGTCACATCTTCATTCCTCGCTCACAGCGCTCCTGCGAGCTGAGCGAGGCCCAGACGATGATCTGTCTCTATTTGATGGCTGAGAAACCTGAGCGAACTACAGAAGTGCTTTATCAGAGGTGACATTTGGGACAAAACTGCTGCCTGGGGGTGGGGACCTCTCGCCCCTGTCCTGAGCCGCAGGCGAAAATCCAGCAGCGCGGGATGGCAGTTCTCTTAAATATCAAGCACCTGGGCCCTTGATAAGAAAGCAGCTTCTCCAGCCCTTCTCGAGACTCTGGAGTGAGCCGATCTGGGATGTAGCCCAGATCATCTATTAACAATCGCCCCAGGTAATTCTTAACGTTCAGGCACATTTGGCTTAAGAATGGGGGCTGAAATGGGACTGGCTTGGATTTTAATCTGGGTGAGTCCTCCAGCAAGCTGCGTGACTTAGCAGCTGTAATTCTCAGTTTCTTCACGTATAGAATAGAAACAACAATATCCCTCTCAGTGTTACCGAGAGAATGATACGTAAGACGCAGCACAGGGCCTGGTACGAGCACACTCTCTCTATATGCATGTATCAACGCTCAGAGATATGACACACTGACATCGAACCTTTTGTGGTCGGGGGGTCACACACTGTGCTCAAAAGCCAAGGGAAACAAGTACAGAGAAGTATGTGGTCAAGCCCAGTTTTCAGCTGGTCCAGAAGGCAGTTTTCCTTAAGCTTCATGAGGCCAGCAAGCTCCCTTCTCTCTTTTGGAGGAAGACAGCGCCAGTAATCCACCGCAGGCTCCAGTGCCAGCCACGGGGTCTAAGGGACACCCCTGGGTCACACACTGTGCTCAAAAGCCGAGGGAAACAAGGACAGAGAAGTATGTGGTCAAGCCCAGTTTTCAGCTGGTCCAGAAGGCAGTTTTCCTTAAGCTTCATGAGGCCAGCAAGCTCCCTTCTCTCTTTTGGAGGAAGACAGCGCCAGTAATCCACCGCAGGCTCCAGTGCCAGCCACGGGGTCTAAGGGACACCCCTGGGGTGAGCGGCCCTTCTCAGGTCCTTCTTAGATCAAGCTGAGGCTACAGAGATGCTGACGGATGGAGCTAACGACCAGCGCGTCGTGGGTTTGTTTCCCGCATAACTATCACCTCCCCGCCACCTCCACTTAGAAACACTGGGAAGAAGCCTTGTGCTATTCATTACGATGAAAAAGCTCAATTCTGGAGGGTAAAATAAAGATAACGTCTACGCGGGCGGCCAGCTGGGGTCTGGTCAGGCCGTGCCACCCGGCAGCCCCCCGCGGCTGGCTGTAGAGAGCGCACCGACCCTCAGTCACCCAGACCTTTGCCTCGCCAGACTCTTCTGAGCACATTTTAATTCTCGCCGTGCTCTCGCGAGAGAGGGGATCATTTGCAAATGAGGAAACTGAGGCCCAGGGAGGCTAGGCACCCAGCGCGGGGTAACCCGGGCAGTAAGCGCAGGGTGGGGGTGCAGACCTGGGCTCCCTGCTTTGTTCTTAACCGCCGATGCCCACCACGCGGATGGGACTGTGCAGGGAGAATCGGAAATAATCCTCTCGGTCACGGTCACGGCCTCTCCGCTCCTGGTTAGGGACGTGGGGGAGGGGTCCATGGACAGGACGCAGGACACAGGACCTCTTCGAGGAATGCTTTAGAGGGACACAACATCAATGGCAAAAAATGAAAACTCCCAGCTCAACCAGCTGGTACCCATTCACCTGCTAATGAACCCCTACGGGAACCATTCAGCAAAAGGGCAAGTAGATCTTGGGGAATCTTGTTTTCATGGTGTCTTTTGACCTGAGCCTAACTTCAACCTCCAAAGAAGCAGAGGGCAGGCGGAGAGAGGCAGCTACGGCTTCCTGAGCCCTCACCGCGGGCCAGGCACAGAGTAAGAGCTTCCTGTGCATCATCTCATCGGAAAGCTCATTAGACAGGCGAACAAACCCCTCATTTGCTGGAAGAAAGAGACGAAGAGGCAAAGGATCCAGATTCTAGCCCTGGCATGACCGGCTTCGCCACCTCGTCTAAATCGTCTAAATCACTTCCTCTCTTTGGGTGTTTTCTCCTTTGCAAAAGAAGAGGGAAGAGGAAAGAAACTTGCCCAATGCCCTGCGGACTTGGATCTGAGCGCGGGCCCCGCCCGGCACCTTGAAATGTTCACTCTTCATATGCCTGGGCAAAGCACAGCAGCATCGGCTCACAGACGCCTTGCTATCAACATTCGCAGAGAGAAATACAGGATGTGGGGGTGGAGGTGGGGAAGAGAGAGAGGGAGGAAGGACACAGTGGAGGAAGCCTGGGAAGGATGAAAAAGAAAAAAAAAGATAAACAAATGAGGGATGAAAAAGAGAGAAGGAAGGAACCAGAGGAAGAACAGGGAGGAGGAAAAGCAAAGGAGACGGAAGATAAGTAGAAAGAAAGAATCAGGAGGAGGAGAGGAAGGATCTAGGCGGAAAATGAGAGGAGGGAGGAAGGAAAGAGGGAAGGAAGGAGGGCAAGAGGGGAATGGGGGAAACGCAGCCATGAGCTGTCGTACCCCAGACGGAAGCCACGAGAATGCGCGTGCGTCAAGGACGCCGCCTGTTCACAGTCACGACTTGTCTGCTCCTCCGTTTTCTAACTCCGATTTCATTAAATATCCGCCTGCTCAATTAGCACTTCGTCAGCTCGTGTCTGATTCTCAGGTTAGTTCACAGACGGTCCACCGATCCCTTGCCGCAAGCTCTCTGAGAGCAGAGTTCTCAGCTCTCCTTAGCCCTGGCCACCCCGTGCTCTTCCCAGCCCCTGGGGCGGTGCTGGCTCCGTGAGAAGCGGGTGGATCACCCGAGCAGTCACTGGGTCCCTGGCGACCTCGTCGCCTTCTCTCGCTGTGGGTGAGCAACTGTCTTTTTATTCTTTAGCCAAATGGAAGTATCGTTAGCGCCGATACTTCCCACGCCGTGCTTTCCGGAGGTGGCTGTGATATCTAAAAACACATTCGTTACAGCCTTTCTAAGCAACGGAAAACTCCTTCGCTCATTAATACGCCGTGACAGGTGGCTATTTAGCAGAACACCAGGATACACGTCATAGTAAAGATTACTCAGGTGTGCAATCTCACAAGCACTGTGGGGAACATTCCATCCACCTTACTGCCTAGCTCCAGCCTGGGAAAGAAAGTTCTCCAATTAAGGCCGCTTTGAAGTTCCTTGGCGCTGACGAGACATTTTGTTTTTGTTTCCAGAGGTCTGCTTTTAGCTCAAAAATGCAAATGGTTTGTCCCTCTGGCGGGGGACATGCACCTGCCTGTCACTCAGCTCATCACCCAGACTGTCACCCAGCCCGTCACCCAGCCTGTCCCCCAGCGGTGCTGCTGTGCGTGCCCCAGGAGCAGGCCCTCCCGAACCCTCCCGTGTCGCGGCCACAGTGTGTGGGGTCTGCTTTGCAGAAGCCCATCTCCCACTCGGTGGGCCTTGGGCAGAGGCTGCAGGCGGGCGGAGGGGGCAGCCAGACACACTTGGAGAAGCGAGTGTCAGTCTCCTGAAGAACAGGTGAATGCGGGAAGAGCAGAGGGGTCCATGCCGTGGACCATCGGGACAGGAAACATTCGGCCGTGATGCTCCCTCCTGGCTCCTTCACACCAGCGAGTGGGCCTGAAGCTTCCAGGCTGAGGTGGGGGAGCGTCTGCGTGTCGATCACAAGTTTCTGACATGTCGCCTATTTGAAGCGCCTACCTGCCTACGCCCAGGGCACGGTTTTGGACTCAGCGAAGCTTCAGGAAGCCATGTTCCCCCACCGCCCCCGCCCCGTCTTCCTCGGACTGAACCTTTCTGACTTGGACCCGTGTTACTTGATGCGAGAGAGCTGAGTGAATGAGAGCGAGAGGTGTAGATTAGGCCTAGAAGAGAGAAGTACGCGGAGATCGTTATCCGGAGCGGGGATAATATTTAACTGGAAAATGGCCAATTATTGGGCTACACAGTTTTAGGGAGCCGTGTGCCGTTTACATGCCCAGGAGAATTTAAATTAATTCCTGTCTCTCCTTCCATTTCGAATCACTCTTAGACCCGTGTGGCCTTTGGGGAAATCCTAATGCAAACAGCCCCAGCACCAGCTGGCCGGGCCTCTCTCCTCGCTCTCGTCAGCACTGGGAAGGCGGAGTCTAAATAAATGCCGTTTCACAGCGTTTGTGGTGGTCGTCGTGTTGTCTGAGGTCAAGGAAAGCGTGTCGTTTTAAGTGGCATTTTTGCAAAGCCATCGACTAGAGTCAGCGGCCCACCCCCCATGTCACCGAGGCCAGGAGGAACCCAGGGTCTAAACGCAACATTAACCAAGCCTTGCAGAGGGCTGCGGGGGGCTGCGGGAGGCCCCGTGACCCGTGACACTGGTTCTGGTTAAGCAGAGGTAGGTGCTCCAGGCCACTGCACCGGGGAGCCCCAGCATTGACGGCCCGTCAGGCCCTCAGGATGGGAGCCTTCTGCCCCTGGCACAAGGACAAGGGCCTGGGGGGTCCCAGAGGGTACCTGTCATTATTCCGTTTTCTGCTTAAAGCCCTGAGGATACAGAACTCCAGTGTACAGCAATAATTTGCTCTCTGCATTAAAAAGTCAATATCCTTTCGGGCTCACTGGGAAAGAAAGAATATTTAGTCCAACCCCTAGCACCCAGGAGTCTGTGAGTCACAGAGCTTTTTCAATATACCTTTTACATTGGACGTGAGGAAAAAAATTTGACAGTTCTACTGAGCATTTCATTCAGAAGATGGAGGGCTGTCTGGGGGGAGACCCTGTGCATTTCTTTGGTGGGGAAAATACTTTCGTCATTTTCTTTCTTCTAAAATAAAAGTGCCAGTGTGAGATGAAATGGAATGCCCCTTGCCTGAATCCCTTCCACAAAGGCCTGTCCTCTAACGGCCAGAGACCTGGCACGTGAATTCTCTCCTCAGACTCTGAGGCAGACCACGCACACCTCACCTGAGCAAACGGATGATGGCCGCTCTGTCCTGAGGGTACGGATAAGGCAAGGGATGCTCTTCCGGCAGAATAATTCGTTATTTATCACCTGCCCAAGTGACCTTACTTCCACATGAATGCACACCTGCCTGTGTGACCACACACACACACACACACACACACACACACTTCACACATGCACAGGTCATCGACCTGCAGTGACGAAGCAGAGCAGACGAGAGCCCGGAAATTCTTAGATAAATAACAACTGGATTCCTTGGCCATGGCAGCTCACACTATGACAGCTGCTTCTCAACAAAGGCTCCCCCCCTAGGATTTCCATAAAGGGCAGGAAAGAAATGCCAACTGCACACGGGAAGATAATAGCCACAATAGGAATCATTTCTTGAGGCCTCATTCTAGGCTAAACAATATTTCATGTCATTCTCTAGGCAGAGGTAGCCGTGATATTAAGGAACAATGGTGTTTAGTGAAGGGGAGGCGGAAAGGAACCCTTCAAAGCTTGCTTTCAACCAAGTGGCATCTATAACTCTTCCTTCTCATTTCACATGAGTTAAAAGGAGCCGTTTCCGTTAGCTCCCTAACCCTGTGGAGAAGCCTCCACGCTATGATGCTGAGCTTCCAGAATCTTACAGCCTCCTCCTCACTGTCTTTAGGTTCAGCTGTGAGAGAAATACAAAGGCACGAATCTCCACGACTGGAAAATGCTTTTTGTTCCAGACGATTTCGCTCAAAGGGGAAGTATGAGACCTATGAGAAAGGTCAACCCATTGTGGGATCAAGAATCCGTAAGATCATTTGAATCGAAATAGGGACACGGTGCCATCATGGAGTCGATCCTGACCACTGAAGGTTTGCGAGGACTTCGGTGCGTGCATTTTAGGGTCGTAGACCTGTGGGCTGTGCGCCTCGCCCCACGGCATCCATGCACTTTGCTGGGCCCTGGGGAAAAGCTGCATATTTCCACTTTCTGTCTCATTTCCATGTTCCCAGCAGGATATTTAACGAGCCACGTAGTGACGGTGATGGGCCTGGCTTACCCTGTTTGATGCCGTGTCAGCCCTCTTCCCGGCTGCCGCTCCTTACTGACACCACTTTATTCCGATGGGTCCCTCTCACTGCTCCCCAGAATCTGGTACAGGAGCCGAGCTTTTCGTCCCTCCTTTTTGGCACATGAACAGGGCAATGGCCTAGGAGTATGGCTAACTCGCAGATGGGAAGAACTGAACGTCAGAGAAATGAGGGGCGACGTCCTCACTCCCTGACTCTGGGAGGGACTCTTGAGGGACAAAGCCAACTTTGTAGTCACTTTTGCCATTTAGAGATTAACGCTGAAAAACAGCCATTAGTACAGTTTTCTTGAGAGTCAGGTCGGATATTTATGTTATTTGAGGTCATTTTCCCTCTATTGTGTGACGTCCTTAATACAGAATCCTGTGAGAATACGGTCTAAGGATAATGTCCCATTAGCCACCCTGACCTGATTTCTGCCTTGTTTCGGGAACTTTCAGGCCAACCTGCAATTTTAAAACCCCTCATATGCTTTTTCCCCCAGTAATCTGGCATCTGCCAAAAGTCACCGTCATTTCGGATAACTGCTTTTCTTTCTACAAAGAAGCTATTACGCCCCTAACGCAGCTCTCACAGGGTCCTGCTGCAGCCAGCGATCGACATGCTAGATTTCAGCAACGCAAGTCCCCCCGAGAAGAAGAATTTACCTTGGAGTCCAGCTGCTGCATGTATGACCAAAGGTATTCTATGTTGGCTCCGAACGGGTGGACGTGGAGAAACGTGGAGATGATGCCTGAATTCGAAACACAAACATGGGATATTACCGAGAGGAAAATAAGAGTCTCATCTATGGGCTGACGTCTCATAATGCCATCGAGCCCTAAGTTATAGTCTTGCCATTGGAACCATGCTCAACAAGCACTCACTTACAGCCCGTGGTGAAGACGCCAGAGTAACGCAGTCAACAGCACACTCCGTCTCGTGGAACGACGGTAGTTAGAAAAGCTAGAGTTTGACACGACATATAGGTGAACACAGGTATTGCTAACCAAAAGCTCCTAGAAGCATTTCGGCTACCAATTTTATGCTCGATTTACCAATACCAAGTTGTCGTTATTAGAAGGATAAAATTATCCTTTTTTTTTTTCCCTCGGTGGACTTTGCAGAATGAAAATGACTCCTACAGCCGTGTCAGGCATCACACGGCCTTGAACTTCCCTGATAATTATAGTTGCTAGCTATGAAAAGTATTGAATCCATATTTCCCCTAAGTGCCACTGAAGGAAGCATAAATCCTTCCCGAAACCTCTGCTCTTTCCCCCGGCGGTGGCTGTTGTTCAAAGGGACCTGCCTTGCTCTCCCCTCTCTGCCGTGATGTATGAGATCATTTTAAAAGGACCAGGAATGGATGAATTGGCTGGAGTCTGATGGTAAGTCAGAAGGCTTTCTTATTGTGAAAATCAGCTGTCGACATTGGACTGACAAAGGAGAAGCTGGGTGTTGGTGTCAGGGCTGAAGTAGAAGTGTCCGCTTCCTACCCTCCCTGCTCTCATACCCGAAATCAAAACAGTGACGATGAGGGCACTGGCTCCGCAGACTGTACGCTGCTGTTTGTCAACAAACTGCTCGGACTGACATTCTTTGGGTTCTCTCCTAAGCGGGCTTCGAGATGACGTAAACCCGAGGCTAGCCCTTATGTTCTTCATTCGGAAGCTCTGATCCCTGAAGCAGAGGGAGGGCTCATCCTGTACAAAATGCAGCCGGGGTGAGCAGCAGACAAGAGCACGTCCTTGTGCCAGGTCATCCTATGATTGCAGGTGACCTTGGATTGATCTGGGAAAGGCTCTCATGGTCCCCTGATCTCCCTGTGTGATGCTCGGGATGCTCTGGGGTGCGTGCCAGTTTTTAAAGAAACGTTCCCAGTCTATCCTTAGGTCGAGGCCAGAGAAGCAAAGCGTCTAGAAAACCACTCTCAAAGACCTGTCCTCAGAACATGGCTTTAGGTGGGTGTTTTTTGTTTGTTTACAGCGCAATGAGAAAGATAGAAACAATTCATTATATTGCTCCAATAAAGCTCAAGCCTGATGTGTTTTTCCTGAGATACAAAGCACTACCATTTTATTCTGAGACTGTTCTTCTTTTTTTGATAGAATGTCCTTCTTTTATGGAATAATAGTGATGATAAAAGGTAATAATGGTAGTTTTAATGTCTTTAGGTGTCAGTCAGTCATTTTTACTGTACTTAAGTGGTATTGTTTTGGTCTCCTTCAACCACTTTGTTTGTTAATTTATATTTTAATTTGATGGACCTGACAACTACCTCCCTGTGTCTGAAATTCTCAAATCCGGTGAGGTCGCATTGTTACTAACAACAGTTCAAATATGGAAGCTCACGAATGATCTACTAAAAACCAAAAGAGTTAGAAGAGAAGGATTTTAAAAAATAACACTTTCATTTTTCACTTATTGAGTGGGAGGGGAATGGAATCCTTAGGGAAATTGCCTCTGTTTCAGCGTGGCGAGTGGGGCTCTCCCTGCTGTCCCAGGCTGAGGACAAGTGGCACCATGTCCATCACTTTCCAGAGAGAGCCTCCAACAAATGGTGGGCAGCCCCCCAGCCCCATAAAGAGGAGGACAGGGGAGGGAGGAGAAGTCAACCCTGGCTTTGGGACAAGGCGAGGGTGGTTCTGGTAGGTACGATTTTCCTCCTTGCATACAGTGCTCTTCCAGGCGGGGAAGGGTACCCCGAGAGACTGGCTCCCAGAGTCAGGGGGAAGGCCCACGAAAGGTGCATAAAGGCGTTTCAAGCTTTTCACATCAAAATCATCAAGTTTACTCTCATTTTCAGACCTAAGACCAAAGAAGCAGGCTTTAAATTAGCCACATAGTACTCATTGTTTACAGCTTCATCTCGCCCTTGTTTAAACATTTCCTTAGCAGTAATTAGGTGCCAAGGTGCGAGGAATACACCCCTGCATAAGACAGACAGCGTCCTGCTCTTGGGTAACTTATATACTAGGTAAGCAAAACCAACGATAAACGTGAAGATTAAAATGAACGGAAATATTTTCGGGTAGTAGTAAGCACGGTGAAGAAAACGAAACGGGGAGTAGGGTAAATGGGGTGCAACCTCAGGCTTGGGGAAGTGCTGCTTTACGTCGGGAGGCCGAGAGAAAATAAATTTTCTTAAGTGTCTTGAGATCCCGAGGGAAGGTTACTCCGGGTGCAGGCAGTAATGGGTCGTGCAAAGGACCTGAGGTAGAGCTAAGCTGGCAGGGACGGACATGGCTGGAGAGTGGTACCGTGTGCCTTTAGAGGCAGGAGCGGAGCCAGATCACTTAGGGCCTTGTATGGCAGAGTAAAGGGTCTGGATTAAGTTCTACACACAGCGGGAAACCAGCAGAGGTGCTATGATCTGAATTATGTTTTAAAAATTTCATTCAAGCTGCTCTGTGGTGAAAAGACCAAAGGGAAACTGGATGACCAACTGGAAGTGTCTGCACAAGACCCGAAGTGGCACGTTGTGATCTAGACCAGCCAGTAGTGGACACTGAAGGCAGAGGCTCTGGACTGCCCCTGAGCGGTGTAAGTTCAGGACGAATCCAGGATGAGTGCTCGGCATTTGGCCCGAGTAACTGGGAGGTACCACCCGGGGAGGAGCGCATCAGGGCAGAGATAAGGATGGGATCAAGAGCTCTGTTTTCGCCTCGTTAAATTTAAGATCTCCGTCAGTATCTAAGTGGAGATACCAAACGGTAGTCGGAGATGATACAAGTGTGTGAGTCAATGGCGACAAAAAGGGACTAGAGGCCAGAGCACTGATGGAGATTCCCTAGGTACGAAAGAGGCCTCAAGACCGAATCCCGAAGGAGCCCCAAACGTGGAGTTTAAGCTGAAGAACACTCATCAAAGGAATCTTAGGGGGAGCGATCAAGAAGAAAGGCTGGTGTTATGACAGCCGAGAGAAGAAAGTATTTCCAGAAGGTGTGAGTAGCCGACGGTGTGAAGGGCAGCTGACAGGTGGACGGAGCTGAGAGCTGGCCATGTGAGTCCGGTCACGGCGACCACAGCAGCTCCAGTGTGAGGGTGCGAGCCAGGCCGGACCGGCTGGAGGGGAGGGCGGGGATGGGGACCGGGTGTAGACGCTTTGGGTCGGGAACAGGAAAATAGGGTCGTGGGGTTAGAGAAGATTCCTTTCTTTTCTTTTTTTTTTTTAGGAAACCAAATTAAAAACAAAAAAGATATAATTAGCTAACATATAACATTATATTAGTTTTAGGTGTACAACGGAATGATTTGATTTTTGTATATACTGTGAAATGGTCACCACGATCAGTCTAGTTAACACCCATCATTGGCAGTTACAAAATAGTCCCAGGGATGTGAAGTACAGCACAGGGAATATAGTCAGTGATACTGTCATACTTATCTATGGTGCCCGGTGGGTACTAGACTAATTAGAGGATCAACGTGTAAATTATATAAATGTCTGATCACTATGCCGTACAGCTGAAACGAATACAAAGTAATACTAAATGTCACTTCTAACTGAAAAATAAAAGTGAAAAAAAGCAAAAACAAAACCTTTTAGCTTCATGCTTCTTATATCAGAATATGGAAATCAAAATTTAAAAGAAACGTAAAGGGAAGACGGGCAATAGGACGAGTGGGCACCTGGGAAGTTATGGGTTACGATTCAGTAAAAAAAGTCAATGAACTATTGTTTTAACCCTATTAAATGTTTATGACGTATGTTTTCCCAGGATTATATAATGTGTGATTTCATTCTTTTCAGTAAAAAATGGAAATTTAAAAATGATTAAAAGAAAAAAATTTAAAAAAAATATCGGCGTACACAGTTATATATTTTTTTTCTTGTGATGAGAATTTTTAAGATCTACTATCTAATCAAATTTCAAATAGGTAATACATGTATATTTTTGGGTTTCATTTTTTTTTGATTACTCATTTTATTTTTATTATTGTTTTTCGGTTGCAGTTGATGTACAATTTCTATTGGTTTCGGGTGTGCTACAGAGTGTTCAACATTTATATATAACCTACGAAGTGATCACCTGGACCTTCTCTTTTGTTTTAAAGGTATAAGACAGCAGAGTTCGTGTTTCCGGGTCGAGAGTATGATCTTCTACCTATATGAGATCACTGCCTAAGTAATGCAGCTTTCGTAACCGTCTTCATAGATTAATCAGTTGAAAAAGACCATCTAATGTAACCTCCTAAGTTTATACAGCATGAGGAGTAAGATAAGTGAATAAGTGACTCGTCACCGAGTGTATCAAATGCCTCTCCATCCACGAATACTCAGAGTGAGCCTCCCTGCTAAGTGCCGTTTAAAGATCATCGGGCACTGTGGTCTGTCCCAGGGCCAGTCCACCCCACTGCCATCTTTTTCTCTTACGGACTTGAAACAAACCACGTGGGCTAACTGATGAGAACAAAGCATCGATTTGTACATTCGGTTTGGTCAACGCGGTATCCTCTTTAAGTCGAGTGAGAAATGGGATTCTACCAGAATATATTCCTCTTCATCAGGCTGCTTGGAGTTTCCTTCCAAACTTGGGGTCAACCTGTAAAGTTCCGGCGAGCTTAGTTTTCCCGGCATCCCCACTGGTTGGTAGTCCCCTGAGAAGCCCCAGAAAGCCCCAGGCCATCAGCTCGGCCCAGGCGAGGGCAGCCCTGGGCTCTGCAGGAACTAGCTCTGTGGAGGGGTGGCTGTCTCCCTAGCCACCAGCCACATGCTGTTGGGAATCAGCTGAGGCCCGACCGTACCCGACCTGAAATACTCTTGCTTCATGGGGCCGCCCACACGAAGGCTTTGAGGACGCTGAACTGGAGAGCTGGCAGGGAGGGTGCTGTGCAGAATCTGGTTTCTCACTAAGCCATTGGGAGAGGGGACAGTTGTCCACAGGCAGCTACAGAGTGACAGCACGCTTATGGGACACGGAGAGAGGCAAGGCTTGAGGCGAGACCGAGCGGCAAGGCTCATCAACTCTTGTGCTTTGGGCTGATGCGTCTCAGTTTCTAAAAAGCTTTATTTACATTTCCAAAAAGTAGTTTGTTCCACTTACTTGGTGAGTATAATACCTGATCTTATACAGTCAGTTTTTTTAAAAAATATTTGTCTGCCTGTCCGTCTTATTTTAACCAAACCTCCGAGACCGTATTGGGGCCCATGGTAAATTGCTCCTTGCATCTGAAACGGCCTTGGCAAGTCCCCGATCCATCCGGAGAAGCGCTGTGTGCCCTTTCTTCCAACGAGGCATCTGTGGCAGAAGAAGCCCCTCTCCACGCTTCTGATTTCGGTATGAATCACATTCAATCTGCTTTCTTTCTCACTAGCCTACGAATCTCTTGAGGGAAGAGGTCACCGTGTCGCCACCCCTCACTAACACCATTCCTGGCATAGGGCAGGCCAGGAGTTCCCAAACATGGCCCCAGAAGTGCCTGCTCCAGCGTCACCTCAGATGTCAGTTTGACAATAAACAGAGTCTCTGTGTACGTGGCTAAAGACGCTGCCTTTTAAACAGGCTGCCCAGATGATTCCTTTTCACAGTGAAGGCCGGTAATTTTTACAGTAGGCCCTTGACAAATGCTTGCTGATTTATTAACACGAACATTTGTGTCTTGGAAACAAGATTTAGGTCAATGACTCATTCTTTATGGTCAGTAGCTTTTAGAAAAGAACACAGATTACTCTCCAGATTACTTTCCTCAGGTGCAGCCTAAATATAGTCTCAGCTCCATTCTCGGAAAACACAAGAGTCACCACTCAGCCTTTGCCAAGTGCATTTCTCTCCATTCTGTTCTGCTTCCCCACGCCCGGGCGGTATGGGGAGCATTCCAATTCGGATGCAGACTGGTTGTGCGCAGAGGTGAGAAATGGCGGAAGTGATGGAGACGGTGGTGGTGGGCGGCTCAGGACCGGATGTCATGAAGCATCTTGGTTGCCCATAATATGCATGTCCTGATCTGCGGAGGAGCCGGGAGGATATGTAGTTTGCTCAATCAGTAAGAATTTGAAGATACTTCTCAGGAGTCCGGGGAAGTTCTGAAGAACTGCTGCTTTGTAAAAAAAGAGTTGTCGAGAAGGTTTTGATGATATCTGGATGAGATTTGCAATGATGACTAGCATTGACAGGGCGTCCAGGCATGCTTGGATTGGAAAGCTATGGCACTAGAACTAATTAAAAAGCAAGAGAAGAGAGAGTAATAGAGATCCAGAGTTATTCTGTCAACATCTCCTCAAAGCCGTCTGCCTATCGACAAAAACATTTTGATCCATTCTCCTTTGGAACAATAGCCAGTGGCTTCCAGCTAAACACAACTCCAAAGCTTGGGTCCCAATCCAAAAGTATTGACTCATTCTATCCTACACGAGTTCAATGCGAAATGAACGAGGAGTTCTGGCAGAGACCCTAGGCGATGTCGAGCTGATCGAGCGTGTGGTTACTATAGAGTCGTGGGGCATAAAATGCTCCCTGCAATGCCCCTATAAAAATGTCATTCTTTTAGGTCCAATTATATGTCAACCTGTCTTCACAAGGATTGACTGCAAAATTAATAATCCAGAAATCACATTAATAAAGTGCTTTCCAAGGGCTTACCTTTTTGAGTCGAGTTGGAACATAGCACTCTATCCCCATTCACTGCCAAGCAGAACATGTGACAGGTCTGAACTCCCAAAGGACTCAGCATCCAAACCCTTGTCAAGCTCTGAATTATGTTATCGATGAAATCCCACTGGTCTTCTGTGACATGTACCTCACTTCACATGTCTTAAAGATTCCAATTTTATAAAAGAGTCATGAGACCATCCGGAAAGAATACATACTTTTGCCCAGATAAATTAGTGTCACAAGTCATCATAAGTAACTAGGATTGCTTGTTTAGGGAGTTCTGGCCTCTGTTTTATGTTCTCTGTAGACGGAATCCATTTGAATAGCTTATTTCACTCCCTCCTTCTCTTCTAGTCAAGATTTGTGCCACCGTGCATTTTTTTTTTTAATGTAACATTTGTATGTCTCAAGAGACTACTGGGTTATCTGGGTATACTCACATATACTATAGGCACCCAGATGTAATGCAGATTTTGCCAGTAAGTATTTCCAATAGAAGGCAGATTTTTCTCCTGTGTTCCTGGCCTTCGAGACTGACCTAGAGCCAGCCCGATGTCCTCTATATGTGTTTCATTATTCTAAAGGAAGATTTCAGGGAAATTGCAAAAAATATGCCTTCCTTTCCAGATAGATCAGAAGCCCGTGAGACCCCCGGAAGCATTCTATTTTTAAAGTATTTGTCAGAAAAAAAGAGGATCCCCAGCATCAGAAACTCCTTTCTCTCTCTGGCTTGGTCCAGAGTAGTTTTGGACCCAGATTCGGTCATTCTGTCTCTATCACAGTTCTTATCTAGATTCTAGATGCTGCAGGGAGGGTCTCTATCACCCCAACATTCAGGTACGTACGAAGTATGAAAGGCCAGACTCGATTAGCAGAGCGGCGCGCTTAATGGCAGTGGGCAACTGCATCCTTTGGCGGGACCCACTCTGCCAGTCTCAGAAGCCCTTCTCCACCTTGGCGATCTTTGGATGCTAGCCCTCTCTTTGACTAAAGAAGAACGTAAGGACCTAGGTGTTTTGAGGGAGGGTTTGGGAAAGAAGCCACATCTGTAATCAAACTTTAGAGTAAACTAAAATACTGAAGTATAGAGGAAATGGAGAAATAAAGGGAAAACTTCAACTCCTAAGTTTACTTTCATAAACAGCTTAAAACTCTAGCCTCCCTTCTACCTATAGATTCTCATAGATTGATTCAAAGTGAGTGTCACATTCCATTTTTCTTTTGCTCAACCCTGAACTTCAAAGAAAATCTAGGTAGACCAGTTCGAAAGACCAAAAGTGAGGGGAAAAGTCCTAAAAAATTTAGAGCCAGTTGTGTCTACTTTTTTATTGAAGATCCCGACTTACTGATTTTTTTTCTTTCTAACACACTTGAATTTACCGATTGTTAATTTTTTTCTCATGCTAAAGATCTCAGCAGAAGTGACATGTTACAACTGTAACCCTCCTCTCTACTCTCATTAACCTACAGTGTGTAAAGCATATCCATATTTTTAAAATATTAAGGTAGCAGGTTAAAAAATGTGTGTCTACATACTATTTGGAAGACAGTGTAAACGAACTGTGTGTTCTCCAAATAGAACATAAAAGCAGAAGCAATCTGAAGTGAGAGGCAGGAAATACAAAAAAATGGGGGCCCGTCCCCATTTTTTTTAACCTTCAAGTGCTCTGTACTATTTAGACTTAGACAAAGAGGGAAAATTTATGTGCTTTGTTCATACCTTAAAAGCCTCATGGCGGCGGCGGGGGTGGGGAGGGCAGTAACACAACTTTGTCACACCGAGGGAAAAAGAAACAGTTGTCAGAGTCTGACACATTCTCCAATAGAAGAAAAAACCCAGTTGCCAAACCCGTGTGGGTTCATTTGGGTTCCTGGAGCTGAGAGCACCCTCAGCATGTCTTACGGAACGTGTCCAGGGCGTGCTATCACAGACGTCTATCATCGGAGAGAAAAAAATAATTGCCTTTCCTTGGAGCATCTCTAAGCTGATGTCATATTCAATAAACCCGTAGTTGAAAAATCTATACGTGATGGATGAAGTCTGGACTATCTTTTGAATTTCATCCCTCCCACACCAGCTTCTCCAGGCCCTGGGGTCCCCTATCCTTTTGAGGCAGGTGCATGCAGGATTTAGAAAATGCAACCAGGTGCTCCTTCTGCCAGATAACGAGCTGGAGAAGAACAGCGTGTCTCACGTGCACAGCGGCCTCCTTCTGCACTCGCAACCATGGCCCAGAGGAGCCCCACGTGGGGGTCAAGGTCCAGGTGCGGCTCCAACCAGCGCTGTGCCCAGGGAGGGAGGCGTCGCCTTCTCTGGATTAGAGGGCGTGGGAGAGCCTTGCACTCGGCGGCCCGGAAGGTGGGGTTCTGGGCACATCGCCATCATGTCTTCATCAAGAAGTCTTCAGAGTGAGAATAAGCACTTCCGGATCCGCCAATGGTGACTAACAGAGGAGGACATTTAGAGCTCTGTCCCTGGTCCAGGCAGGGAAAAAGCCAACTCAGATGTATTTTGTGGGGCAACTGAATGTTCTCGGTGAAGAACTTCCTTCCTTCGATCTTTCACCTTCCTTAATGGCCACCTTGTTTTACTAATCTTGGATAAGTAGGTCCAAACTTGGGCAGGGAATCCTGGATTAGACCGTCCTGGACCGGCCCGGCACAGGTCGTCCAGAGGTCCCTAAATGGTCGGCGCTACAGGTCTGGCCTCAGGACGTGGCCTCTCTCAAGCCTGGGAATTTGGCTTTGTGTGGAACTTTTGGACCGGCCCCAAACTGGCCTCTAGTTAGAAGCGATGTGTCCACATTTGGAAAGTCAGATTTGTAACATGTGACACGCCCATTCGTCTGTCTTCTCGTACTCAGTTTTACGTTTGGACAACCAGCTAATATACACGGTTACAAAAGAGCAAAACCCCCATTAGTCTTTATGCTCCTAACGTAAAATGCGTGCAATATAATCTGCATGAAGTTCACCTCTGACCAGAAGGCAACGCTGCTCAAATTGTTCGCGAGTTGGAGGTGAAGCACTTACATATTAGATAAGTGAATAACCTAAGAATTATTTGAGGAAACGGAATTTTCCTTACCAATTAGTAGAGCTTCTTTCTCTGATTTTAAGCCGTGGCTTCTTTTCTCCATGTTGTTCTCTCGGTCTTGGTTGACCAATGCGACTGTCAAGACGTTGATATCCTACGAAGTTAACAAACAGAAAAAGCATACGGGCATTTACGTAGATTCTGTGCATTTCAATAAAAGCTACCAGGTCTCTCAAATTCTGTAAAAGACGTCATCACTCCCAGTTACAAGTGAAGATTAACTTTGGTAAGTAATTGATCTACTGGCCCAATAGGAGAAAGTCATTCTAAAACTTAGGCTCCTGGCAAACCGAGCAATTCTCTGCAGAAGTGGCAAATTTGGTGCAACTTATCTTAGTTTTTTTTTTCTTTTTTTCTGTGTTTTGTTTAAGCTATGCTAGCAAAACTTGTATTTGATTGTAGCTACTTCAACATATTTTATTTCAAATACGAAAACATTTCCCGAAAAGCATACACAAGCTGATTTATAATATTATGCTCGTAATTTGTGTGAGTGTGTGGGAAACAGGGCCCACTGGGCAAGTGAGATAGAGCTGTTGTCAGAAGTGTTTAAATGGAGCAGGTACGCATCTCATACACAACTGCAAACGGCAGATAAAGCAAAGGTTGGGAAATTCTTCTTTGGAAACCAAAAGTGAAGAATTGTACAACAAACTAATAACACGGGAATCATTGAGGCTAGACTATTTTTAGTCCTTTCTATAGTGTTTTTTTTTTTTTTTTTAAATTTAAAACCAGAGAAAAAGATTTAACTCATATTGTTCCAGACTTGATACTGGGACTCAAAAAGGAGAGTGATTAACAGAAAGTCAAATTTAATAGTCAGAGACCTGCACGTCTGGGACAGTAGAATGAGGGTAGTTCAGCTTGTTGGGAGGAAATTTCTCACTGAAAGATAGGTCTCCAAGAAGGACCAGCATATTGATCAAAATTAAGGATGATGTTTCCAGTGGAGGGTAGGAAGTTTCCAGAAGGATACAGGGTAGGTAAGATGGGACAAAGATGAACTTAGAAGATCTGGGCAAATGGCTTGGCAAGTGTTTCCAGGACGGGAACTGGTTATAGGATATTTAGTGAGTTACTAAAATCTAACAAGACTGACCAGGTAAGAGAATATGAGTGATTGTTCAGAGCGTGTTGAGCATGTAAAGAACACAGACCCCATCTGAAGGCATTCGAAAAATAAAATAAAATAAAATAAATTTTTAAAAAAAAAAGAAGTAAAAAAGCTCCTCAGTGACCGCCAATCAAAATAAATCTGTGAACTGACTTTAACATACGATCTACTACTTTATAAATCAAGGATAATTGGAAATTGCCAGGAAAGAAGTTTCTGCTGAGAAATTGCAGTTGGTAACGTCTGGTGAGCATTTTGAAGGCCCCTCGAAACGTCACACTGACGTGCTGAAGGCTGAGTGAACGAGACTGAGTTAGGGGTGAGGATGGGGACGGTAAAGAGCTGTGGGGACAGATCGGAAGCAAGGCTGACCAGAAGGTGCCAGCTGAGGCCCGAGGCTGACGGGAGGAGTGTGCCCATGGGGACGGGGTCAGGAAGGGTTTAGGAATGGCGTAAGGCAGGTCTGGAGCTGGAAGGACATAAAAGGGTGTTAGAGAAGAAAGATGCTCTCGTACTTCCAGAAAGGATCTCACAAACCAGCCCCAGCAGAAACGCAGTCAAGAACTTTAAAACAGAACAAACGCAAAGATTTATGTAGGCGGGAGTAGAACATTTTATAAAGAGGAGTTACAGCAAAGGGTAAAATTACGTAGGGTGTTTTTGACTAGGCTGTGTCAGTTAGAGTACACAAGGCCGTGTGGACGCTTCATGTCCCTGGGCTAGTGGGGTCAAGGAGCATGCTGAGTTCCCTTAGTGGTATGCCCTAGGGACAAAAAGGTGTCACAGGGACAGGGCCCTGGGCTTCCATGCCTGGGAGGGTAAGACTGCCGAGCAGAGTCCAGGCTCTGTAAAGGTCTCTCAACAGAGGTTTAAGGAGAGAGGATCGAAAAATATTAACGAGGATGATGATTGTATCACTTATGAAAAATGCAAGTAATTAACCCCAGGGACGAGTGGAAACAAATAGTATCTCCAAGAGAGGGTGATCTGTTCACGGCCTGGATGGGAACTGCAGACAAATGAGATTACTGAGAAGCGTGTAGCAGACAACACACCCACATTAATGGCCAGAATTGAGTGGTCTCCTGGGGCCAACACACTGTTGATGATCCAGGTCCAGGGAGGGAACTGGACCAGGCGGGCTGGCAGCACCTCTGGGACCAGGAGGAAAAGGCCATGGCAGAACAGCGTGCTGCCAGGTACCTATCCCCATGTCGGAAGCTGCAGTCATAAAGAAAGGGGACCTCCGAGCAGCCCCCACAAATACTGCTGAGTTAAGATGTCTCGGGGAGCCATGTGGCCGACCAGTGATGGCTGCCCTGATGTTTTAGGGTTGGGCACACGAGGAGGGGAAGGTACGAAAGGTCCTAGGATTACTCTTCTGTGGAAATGTTTCTTAACGTTGACCGTTGCAGCCTGCGCTCTGCCAGCCACGGAGGGCATGCTCCCACGTGGTTATCACTGGGGACAGTGGAGTGGACGCAGCCCTTTGCAGGCCTGGGCCTGACAGAGACCTGAGGCATGGCAGGGGCTTCGGCCTTCGGGTTGTGTCTAACGTGGACAGGGAGATGCCGCCTGTCACCTCCTGGAAGGAGAACCATGCTGGGAAGTGGCACTGAGCTTAACGAGGCCGGCGGGCAGGCTCCGAGCAGGGCACGCATACTGTAGGAAGTTGGCCTCGAGAATCTCCAAAAGGGCAACTGCCATCTCTCTCATGGTCAAAGGCATGTCCTGCCATATCAACTAGAGACTTGAGTCTGTAACTGTCACTTGGAGAAGTGGGCCAGCTTGTGGCTGCTCGAAAGAGTTGCTCCTGACTAAGCACCCTGCCTCGGGCAGGACATAAAAGTTCAGAGTCTTGCTGACAAAGTCACAGAGTTAATGAGATGGATGAATGCATAAGCATTTTGCCAGAGACAAAATTTAAAGTTAAGAGGGGTGTGTTTTAAAGGCTAGTGATTTTAGATGGCCATTTGTTGTGCTGTGTTTTTATCTTTTTTTCCGTAAAAAAAAGGGGATGGGGGAGGGTATTTTAATGACTCATTCATTAATCATGGGTTCCTTAGAAAGATAAAGTTAATTTGACTTGTCTGTAAGTATAACAAGGTTCTTCAATTAAACGAGAAAATTATCATTGTTGGTAGGCTGTGAGTTTGGGGTAGCCTACAAAATACAAAGTAGATATAAGCGCCATCTGTCCTCACTGCCCATGTTTGTACCTAGTGCCCATGAATCTAAATTATCATCCAGTGTTTGTCAAAAGGGCTCCATCATCGTGGCTGGTGAGGTAAAGAAAATACACAGAAAGAAAATGGGGATCGAAATAACTCCCTAAACCGAATGCTGTTGCGTTTCAGTGAAGCTCGTTTTTACTTTCGGCCACCCATACGTATATTACATGCCTACTCTATGTCAAGGGATGCTAAGTTGTTAAGGGTACCAAGTCCAAAGTGGCAAGAAGCATGTGCTTACTCGGGGTCCAGCAAGAGATTCTTATAACAGGTCTCTAAGGAAACTTACAGGAAGTGTCAGAGGACGGAGCTGGAGACATAGGTGGATCATGGTAAGGAACCTGGATTTTGGCTGGAAGGCTTAGCCAGTGAAGAGTGCTCAGCAGATGAGGGACATGCACGATTCTGAATTTTAGATTGTTGGTTTGGAGGCCAATGAAACTGGAGGCAGGGATGCCAGGCTAGATCGGGCCCACGATACCAGTCTATTTGTTTTTTCTCCTTTTCATGATGAGTGTCTAGACCAAGTCGATAGTGTGCACGGTGCACATAAGAGATATTTAAGAAGTAGAACTAAAAATTAGCTGGCAAGCTGATGGCTGAGGAAAATGTTGAGCATGAGCAGGTGCTTTGGTGCATAAAAATGAGAGGAAGCAGCAAGTATGGGAAAAGATGACGTGTTCGATTTTGGGAATGCTGCACTTCCGGTTTCTATCACATCTGGTCGGCCGTTCGGGAAAAAGTAGGGTGGACAGGGTTTTGTACTCAGCAAGGACCTGAGAGCTAGTGTTATGGGCCAACCATAAAACCTCTCGGTTTGTGTTTGTAGCAAGCAACCGTGATGTCTCTCCTTCTGGGGCAAAGAAGAGGCTTGCTTACTGCTTGATATAGAAGAGGTGGCTTCCCCAAGCTCAATCGCTCTCCTGTAACGTAAGCCACTGTGCATCCAGGCTTCCGTCTGGGCCCCTCGCATGGGGGATGGTCAAGTCGTAAGATCCATGAGGATAAATCTGGCGAAGCCATGATGGCTGTCTGATAGCACATGATAAAACCTCGAATGGACAGTTGCCAAAAACTTCTCTGAAAACAACCCATCAAGTAGAGACAAAATAACAGTAATATTAAATACTAAGAGAGTATGTTTTCAAAGACATCGGAGCACATGCCAGTTTATGCTTCACGTTCAGCTCTGGACAAACACATGGTTCAAGTCTTCAATCCTGTCTTCAGAGTCACACATCCTCTACCCGGGATGGTCCAACTTATCGATTTAGGAACGCGTTTTACTGGGACACTGGATCGTGAGCCAGCAAGGTTTTCCCCTTAAAAACTTCACTGTCCTTGTTACTTCTTTTTGCCTCAAATCTCTGGACAACAGAAGGAATCTTAGGATGGGAAAGTTTCATCAATAGAAACTTTTTCATTAATCACATTAAAATCCCTTACCGATAGACGTAATGTGCCCCGAAGAATAAGCTGTCTACTAGACATTCTGGAGAAGTGCGGGTGGGGTCGGGAGGTGAAGGGCATTACCGAAGACCAACCGTCAGGAATGTAACAAGGAAAGAACCATCACGGGAAGGTGGATCGAGTTTCCTCACTGTGAGGTCAATAGGACGATGAACTATATTCTAAGGAAATTGGTAAGAACACCGTTCACGACACAGTAAAATACTCCGGACTAGAAAATGCACACCAGGTAACGAATCTGCAGTTGGCAGAAGAATGGACACGATTATCCAACAA